CACGTGTACTCAAGCATATAATTATTTTTACCCTTCGATTATAGTGCGTGTCCGTAACGCTAAAAGGTCTCAGGGGCGAACCCTGCCCCTTACGTCCGGGGCAATAGGCGAGGCCGATCACCTCAAAGCGAACCGACCGACGACTATTTGGAGATTTCATACTTACCGGTCAGCGACCGATCGGAGCTAAGCTCCCCTCCTGTACTTGATCCCATTATCAAGGAAATCCTGAATTATTCTCCTCCTCCCCTCGAGGAGCGATTCCCTCCCCTTCTTCTTCTCGAGGACCGAATTCCTCTCCCTCCTTTCCTCGAAGAGCGATTCCCTCCCCCTCCTCCGCTAAACCCGCTTCCGCTCGTCCATTCCAACCAGATCCCGCGCCGATCGACAGAGATCAGCTTTTCCGTCTTTACTCCTCTCCTACCAATGAGAGAGATAGACTGGTGACAGTCTATATTCCCACTCCTTATATAGTCCAATATAAGTACCTCGTCCCAATGTGCTCCTGCACCACCTTTCTCGCCTCCAATCCCCTCCAGTAACCCCTAGTCTCCTTTTCTCCTATCTCTCCTCACACTTACACACACACACACACACACACACGCGCACGTACACGCGCACGCACACGCACACCTTGCGAACACATCTATTAAATAATAATATTTTTATTTATTTTTACATAATGTCTATAAGCTCAATTCAAATAAATGTAAGCTAATTAAAAATCGCTAGCTTCCACCTTTTTTTGTTACCCTTCACATCACTTCCTTCTAATTCTTGAGATCGCACGAGGTCCCGGGTCAAAAGGATTAAGTTCCTTGACCCATAAAGTAGGACTGACGTTCGCACTGTCCCTCGGAACAGGTGTCATAGCGTCCTTTCGTTGACCCACATTCCGGGACCGAAAAAATGCGGATTCACAGGTGTTCGCCTCTCCATGTATACCTGTGAGATTGAGTCTAGCCATCCTTTCACACCCTCTCTCCTTGTCTCATTGACCTAATTTTAAGGGTTTGGACGTAACATATATAAGAGAGAATTTATTATGTAATATCATTAATAAATATATATAATAATATATTAATAATATTCTTGAGGTTTCTACGGGTGCTTTCTATATAAAGATTATGCATTTCGCGGGTTTCCTCCGTGTCCAAATCCATTCTTGAAATGCCAACGTTTCGTGAATCCATTTGCCATTCCAACTTGCCATTTTTTCCTAACTTATAAGTCTTTCGGTAATTTATAAATTATACTAAATATATTTTATTATTTTCCAAAATGAAGTTTTAATATTTATTCTAGAAAGTTGAAAATATGTTGGTGAATTTTTTAAATCATTCTGAATAAGCGTTCGGTTATGTAAATCTAAGTAAAGTCGCTAGACCTATAAAGTACCGCAATTGATTTCAGGAGAGCAATCATATAACTTTTTCGCTAGAGCGGAAATGTGAAAAGTCAAAATTGTTATATATGTATGTTTGTACATATACACACATACATATAAAGAATTTTTACTTTTCACGTTTCCACCCCAGAGAAAAAGTTACATGATCGCTACCCAGAACTGATGCGTCAAAATGGCCGAAATGCACAATACATAGTACAATGAGGAACAAAAATGAGTTTGTACTTCGTGTAATACATACATATTGGCGGCGCACTCATCTACACCAAAATATGTATGTATTACACTGAGGTACAAACTCATTTTTGCTCCTCATTGTACACGCGCGATTTCAAGTACAGTTGGGTCACAGTACATACAGTAGCGCAACTCCCTATCGGTATCTTTGATGTTAGTGTTGGTCAAAATGGAGCACACATGCGTGAAATAAGCAAGTTATCTAGCGTTGCCATGGTTACCACCTAAACTTCTTTCTCTTTTCATCCTTTTTTCGCTCTGTCAAAACTTACTTAGATTTATTCGCGTCGCACTCCAACAAATGCCTTGGATTGAGTAAGAGCTGTTATAGGAGCATTCAGAGCATACGACGTATACAAACGAATAAACCTACTATTACAATGAAATAATTTGAACTTAATAAAGATTAATAAAAATAAATTATAAACATATTGAAAAATAAAGAGAAAATATAGAAAAATATTAGGAAAAATATTAAATTAACTTAAAAATGTATATTTGTATAAAGAAATATTATGTAATTATATATCTATGAAAATGTTATGAGAAAGCTGAGAGATATAAAAGAAATTTATATACATTTATGTCCAAAAAATAAATTTAAAATACAATAAATAAAAAGAAATCCTTTTTGCTCGATTTTCTATGTTACTTTTTGTTCACTTTTTCACTTTATCACTTTTTCACAAAAATTAGACCAATCTCTCGAGATTTCTCACACATTTCACCAAATGGACAATACACGTAATACTTTCCTCTAAATTTCTATTCTGAACCATGTATGCTTGAAAGACAAATATTTAAGTGGAAACGTTTATTTAAATAGAGAGAGAAAGAGAGAAAACAATAAAAAAGGAAGGAAATGAGACGAAGCAACTGCTTATTTCACGCATGCGCACTCCATTTTGGCCAACATAAAATCGAGAGTTGCGCTACTGTATATATGTGATTGGATGCCGCTAATCTAATCTTGTCCCGGCCGAATAATCTTTTAAAAATACTCAAGCTCTTGCGGTAATCATACATGTGATGATTCGTGTTCCTGAACAGTTCTGAACTGTACTTATATGTACCCTTTATGCACTTTTATGCATTAAACTTCTACAACAAATAAATCCGTATTAATCTAAAAAGTACATAAATTAAACATTCGTATGTATTTTTTTGGTCATAAATAAACTATAATAACAATTCAAAAACATTTACTTACATACTTGACGGATCCATTTTTCCAAATAAAGTAGAGGAAAGGCCCCTATTATGAGATATCGAGTTCATTTTGGATAAGTGCTAGAAGTCTATGGGCAGAATTTAAAAAAATAATATTTGAAAGGAATTTAATAAGCTTTAAGATAACGTTATATAAAATTTAATTCAAATTCCATTGTTTTTTAATTAAAGAAACGTAAAAAATCCAACAAAGTCAAAAAATTGTGCTTCTAATATGAGATGCCCCGAGAAATTGATAGTAAAACGCAAAGTATATCAGTTATTGCAATTAAAAAAACTTTATTTCATGTTTCTAAAATGCAAACAAGCACAACCAGTGCGTGAAAAATGAGCATGCGATAGATTATACTCAGAACTCATTTTCAGGTAGTGTGGAATCAAGCATCGCTGAAATAGGCACTCGATTTTCACGATTTTTACTATACATAGGAGCATAGGTTATTTCATATTAGAAATACCTTGAGTATCTCGATATTACGATTTCCACGCCTTATGGTTCTACGATCATCAAATTTAACTTTTGTAATTAAACAATTCAACATATTCCATATTTTTCTATTAGTATGATTTTACTCTATCACTACATGAAGAATTTATTACTAAATATTTATTTATTTAATAATAAACAAAATTTAAAGGCTCATTGCAATGAAACTTAAAGATATCCAAATTCTAAAATCTTTTTTTACACTGACTATGGCATGATCTAATAATAAATTTTCTACTAAATAGTTTTCAATCCAAGAGCAATAAATTCATGGTGGAATCAATATATAGCGTTTATTAGTTTAGCAGAAACGTCGCTATCTCATATTAGGCGCCTATCTCATAATAGAGGGCTTTCCTCTACGTATACAGGCTGGATTGTATGGCCCCACTCATCCCGATCAAGTAGACTAAATTAAGTCGAAAAATCCTGTACTATTTTGCAATGCTCACAATAATTAATGAGATATTAATTATTTTAAAGATAGCCGTTTAAAGATAGCCGAATATGCGAGTCTGCCCGACCTACTATTGCCGAAGATACCCACCGAGCGCACGAATGTGAACGCGATGTTTGTGGCGCGCGACACGCAATATCCAATGAGTGTACAGCTTTATCAATGTTTTTATTTTAAAGGTATACTCTCATTGGATATCACGTGTCGCGCGCGACAAACATTACACTGGTATGCCAGAGCCATACGCGGTCATTTCAAATTAATGAATTTATATATAGGATGGCTGACTTGTACGGTCCCACTCGTCCTGAGCAAATAGAGCGGATTAAACTAAGTCGAAAAGTCCTGTACTATTTTGCAATGCTCACAATAATTAACGAGATATTAACGTTTAACTTACTATTGCCGAAGATACAGCCTACCGAACGCACGGCCCGCGAATCGCGAGAAGCGGGGATGGCCTAGCAGGCGCGCCGCGTCGTTCGAGCTTAAGGGCGGGTTCACACCTAGGCGGAAAAGCGGAAAGCAGAAAAGCGGAAGTCAATCAGAACACGCGCTGATAGTAGGCGATATTTTCCGCTCGTCTGCTTCTGTCTTTCCGCATCGTTCCGCATTCTGCTTTCCTGGTTCCGTCTTTCTGCAGATAGTTGAGGCTTGAAGAAATTCTAGTAACAGACAGTTGTTATTTTTAAAAATATTATTACTGAAAGAAATTGGTGAGTATGTGAATAAAATAAATGTATCTTTTTAATTTTAGTAATAAATTGATGTTTTGAGAATGTGTAAAATCTATTTCATAACCTCTAATTATTTTGGTTTAAGTTAAAATATTAATACAAAAATAAATCCCTCTACACAATTATAAGTTTTACTAAGTTATTATATTCTTTCATATATTCAAAGATTTGTGGATATACATTATGTGTGACGAAAATTTGCAATCTATCAATGACATAGAATTCTTTCCAATAGGAGACTCTTCAATGTAACGTTGATATGCTACACAATAGATATTTACATGCAGATATAGAGATTAATTCTTTCAATATATAAATAAATACTTATTTTTTGAATGAGTATTTGATTAAAATTAATATTCATGAAATTGTATGTATATTATATATAAACATGATAACAAAAGAGACCTGTGATTCTGTAAAAAATATGGAAAGTGACGAAGAATCTATGAATGAAGTATCTGAACAAGATGAGAATGTAGACATACACACTGTGTATATTGAAATCAGTGGAGATGTTCAAGAATTTACTAAAGTACTCATTGGCGAAGTTCAAAAACATCCTGCGTTATACGATATTAAATCATCAATCCAAAGCAGAAGTCGAGTAATCATTAATAAAATGTGGCAAAAGATTTTTGAAATCTTTGAAGGTAAATATAAAAAATATAATAAAAATGTATGAATAAAAGTTATGAACAATTTGCACTAATATTCCATTTATTTCAATTATATTTCATAATTTTTTTTTCAGAAAATGTGTTTACTTGTATGTTAAAATTTTTGTTTATTATAATTTCATATAGGCCAGGTACCAGTCGAAGAATTAAAGAGACGCTGGAAAGTTCAACGTGACAGATACATGAAGATTCGAAGTAATATGAAAAAGAAATTACCTAGTGGATCATCAGCGGCGGTCCTAACTATAAATATTATAAGCTAATGTCATTTTTAGATGATAGTATGGATCAACGAAGGTAAATATGTCATATTTTGATTAATATAAAATAAAATTAAAGCTAAAAAATTAATATTAAAAAAATGAGGCAATTATTTTTATTATATTTTATAATTTATTTTAGGCATGTGTCGAATATATGTCTTAGAAAATCACAACCGCTTGCTTCATCATCTAATTTTAATATTTCACAATGGAATACTTCTCACGTTGACAGTCCACTTTCATCGTATGCTGTTCAGGTTCCACCTATACTTACACCACCTTCACCTGAATTTTTGCCGTCTACTACATCTTCTCGGTCTTCTTCATTAAATTCTCCCGAAAGATTTAACTCCAGCAAATCATCAAGTATAGCTTTTATAAATACGAATTTTAATTTTTAAATTAATAATAACTTTTTTACATGTTATTTTCTATCTTGTTAGAACGTCTACGCTCTACTACTAGCGAAGACGAATTATTACATGCGCTTTCAGCTTTAAAACCACTAATACCTGCTGCATCAGACTCAGTGGATCACTTCTGTCGCAGTATTGCAGATTCTTTACGGATGCTAGATATGAAAAACAGATTATCAGCTGAAATAGAAATAATGCAGTTATTCCATAAGTTTTGCGACAAGTAGTTTTACAATACCAAGCAATATTAACAGTAATGATAGTAATAAAAACAGTATTAATAGTGTTAAAAAAGAAAGGATTTCTTGTTTTAGTTATATGATTAAAGAATTTATTGTTTGTTTAAGTACAGATATAACAATTTTGTATTTACACAGTTATGTATTTTGTTTATCAATATTATTTATTATCAATACATATATTTTATTATATAGTATATGTATTGTAGCTAAACGTCTTGCACAGATGCAAATAATATACAAAATAATTTTTTTTGTTATATCCTGTTTTGCGTACAGATACAAGTACATATATAAACACACATAAATTTGTTATGTAAAAAAACGTTTTAATGCGTACATATTTTTAAAAATAAAATCATGTTAGGTTACATATTATTATTTTGAACAGCTTCATATTGCCAAAATACCGCTCCTTCATTCATGAAATAATCAACAAATTTATTTCTTATTGTTACAGCATTATGTGATGTGCGTTCATTTGTATCTATATAAGTAATATCTCTCATAGCTTCACATTCATTACTTTCATCAAACATTCTAGTAAATACATTCCGTGGTTTATTTACGGATTTTTGTAATTCATCCTTTATTATAAAATTATGAAGACAAAGCGATGCTTTAATAATATTATCGACAGTCTCCAAAGACGCTAATTGGTTTACGAAATATTCGCCATCGGGATGCTAAAATACCAAAGGCGCTTTCAATGGTACGACGTGCACGACTTAATCGATAAGTAAAGATTTTTTTTTCGTAAGTTAGAGAATTTCGAGGAAATGGCCGCATCATGTATGTTTTTAAGGCAAATGCTTCATCTCCAACCAACACAAATGATAACGTACAATTCTCTAAAATATTTTCAGCAGGAGGTACATTTAATAGATTGCTTTCAAAAGCAATACCAATGTCACTTCTTTGAAATATTCCTCCATCGCTTTGGCGTCCTTCTGCTCCAAGGTCTACAAGAGTAAAACAATAATTCGCGTCACAGGCAGCCATCAATATTACACTATGGGATGCATGATAATTGTAAAATGTACAGCCAGAATGCGAAGATGCCTAAAATATTTATTTTTATTAACAATTAAAAATATACATTTATTTACCTTAAACAAATTTATTTATTTACCTGAATAAGAATATGTTTCCCGTCTATTGCCCCAATACAATTGACGAAATTCCATTTATCATTAAATTTCTTAGCAATTCTCTTCCAGTCATCTTCTGTTGGTTGTTTCAGGACAATTGGTTGTAAAATATTCCAAATTGCTGTTGTAGTCTCTAATATTATTTTCGATACTGTACTTTTGCCTATTCGAAACTGATAACTAAGTGATACCATGCTATCTCCGCTTGCAAGATACGAGGGTCGTTTGAAAAGTCCGTGCAAAAATAAAAACTACTTAATTTTTTGGGGTAAACTTTTTTTATTTTTCAACATAGTCACCTTTTAGGCTTATACACTTCGTCCAACGCTGCTCTAATTTGTTGAATCCCTTCCGAATAATAGGATTTGTCCAAGTCTGAAAAATAGCCATTTGTTTCTGCAATCACGTCCTCGTTTCCATAAAATCTTTTTCCCGCCAGCCATTTCTTCATATTGGGGAACAAATAGTAGTCCGAGGGAGCCAAGTCTGGAGAGTAGGGGGGATGTGAGACGAGTTGGAACCCTAATTCCATTAATTTTGCGACCACAACTGCTGAGGTGTGAGCTGGTGCGTTATCGTGAAAATCACTCGACTTCCTCGATTCAAATGAATGCCAAACACAAACAAATAGACCGATCTGGCTGTAACTTGGTGTGTGTTCCTCCAAGAGATGCTACTAACTAAATCTAACCTTGATACGCGCCAGTAGTGCCATCTCTCTGACTTTGCACGGACTTTTCAAACGACCCTCGTAGCTGTCAATAGCAATTTATTAAATAATATAAATAAAATATAAGTTAAAATACATAATTAATATAAGGTGTAGTAAAAAGAAATCTATTATTTTTCCAATAGATGGCTTTAGTAATCTGTATCTCGCGTTGTATAAGTGCGATCGGGTTACGCCAAATGGCGTTAGAAAGATAAGATTTCGTACTAAAAAAACTTCTCAGTTTTGTGATTGCCTGAGTCAGTATTGTTTGAGCGCGTGTCAAAGATGGACACCAACAAAGAGAAAATACGCCATATTTTACAGTTTTTCTTCGATAAAGGCGAAAACGCAAGCCAGGCGGCTGAAAATGTGAATAGTGTTTATGGTCCTGATACTGTAACAGTCAATATCGCGCAATTTTGTTTTCGTCGATTCCGTTCCGGTAATTTTGATGTCAAAGATGCACCACGCTCTGGAAGGCCAATTGTCGAAAATGTCGATAAAATAATGGAAATCGTCGAGTCCGACCGTCATGTAAGCACTGTTTCGATTGCCCAGGAGCTAAACATTGCACAAAAAACCGTTTGGAACCATTTAAATAAGGCTGGATACAAAAAGAAGCTCGATGTATGGGTGCCACACGAGTTAACGCAAAAAAACCTCATGGACCGAATTTCCATCTGCGAATCGCTGCTGAATCGCAACAAAATCGACCCATTTCTGAAGCGAATGGTTACTGGTGATGAAAAGTGGGTCACTTACGACAACGTCAAGCGAAAACGGTCGTGGTCGAATCGCGATGAGCCGGCGCAAACGGTGGCCAAGCCAGGATTGACGATCAGGAAGGTTTTGCTGTGTGTTTGGTGGGATTGGCAGGGAATCATCTACTATGAGCTGCTCCCCTACGGCCAAACTCTTAATTCGGACCTGTACTGTCAACAATTGGACCGTCTGAAAGAAGCAATCGCCCAGAAGCGGCCAGCTTTGGCCAATAGGAGAGGAATTGTGTTCCATCAAGACAACGCCAGGCCACACACATCGATAGTGACTCGCCAGAAGCTCCGGGAGCTTGGTTGGGAGGTTCTTATGCATCCACCTCATAGTCCGGACCTGGCACCAAGTGATTACCACCTGTTCCTGTCTATGGCGAATGATTTTGCTGGTGAAAAATTCGCCTCAAGAGAAGCTTGTGAAAATCGACTGTCCCAGTTTTTTGCCAATAGGGACGAGGGTTTCTATGAGAGAGGCATAATGAAATTACCTTCAAAATGGCAACAAGTTATCGAACAAAACGGTGCATATTTGACCTAAATCGGATCATCCTAACTATGCTAAATAAAGCCTTCAATTTAATGCAAAAATAATAGATTTCTTTTTACTACACCTTATATATCATTAATAAATTTTCTTACCGTAATGTCAAAGCAAGTCTTGTTGCTGGTGGTATGGGTGAACGAAATAAAGTTATTGACTTATGTTATAATGTATATGGTTATATGTGGTCCAACGAGACCAAGTAAAGAATTGAATTGTTCTGGTGTCACTCGTAAATAATTGCAATATTTATTAGGTTCCATTAAGCACATTTCGTTTATAAGTCTTTGTGCACCAGCTTCTCTTCGTTGTGTATCATGGAATATATTTCGTATCCAAATACGTCTTTTTGTTCTTCTTCGACGATTTAGCAATAAATAGACGTATAATATAAACAAAAACCAGTAATATTAATTGTTATTATATTCGTCCATTTAAAAAATATTTTTCCTGAATACTTTTAATGTTTGTAATTTGTCTACATATATTAGCATATTGGATTGTGTACAAATTTTCAGAAGACAATGTCCTTATGTCGATGTCAGGCTGAATTTTTATCATATATGCATCTATATTTGAATATATGAAAGAATATAATGTAAAACTTATAATTGTGTAGAGGGATTTATTTTTGTATTAATATTTTAACTTAAACCAAAATAATTAGAAGTTATGAAATAGATTTTACACATTCTCAAAACATCAATTTATTATTAAAATTAAAAAGATACATTTATTTTATTCACATACTTACCAATTTCTTTCAGTAATAATATTTTTTAAAATAACAACTGTCTGTTACTAGAATTTCTTCAAGCCTCAACTATCTGTAGAAAGACGTACGGAACCAGGAAAGCAGAATGCGGAACGATGCGGAAAGACAGAAGCAGACGAGCGGAAAATATCGCCTACTATCAGCGCGTGTTTTGATTTCCGCTTTTCTGCTTTCCACTTTTCCGCCTAGGTGTGAACCTGCCCTAAAGGTTCGCGGCGGTAAGCGGAACGCTTGCCCCATTCCCCGCGTGTGCCAGAAGCATTATGGATGCGAATTTGCGGTACTGTAAGAAATTTACTAGATATGGACACAACAAAAATATCAACAGCGTCAGGACTGTGTGACTTAGTCAAAGCGCAAATCTACTAACTCGGAGGAGAGACTAGGCCTGGGATCGAGACGAGGAGCGCCCTGATATTTTTCTCTATTGTGATCAATTATTTACAGCTCAGAAGTGGGATTAGTGTGCTACCTCTCAAGAGAAGGGGATTAGGATTTTAGAAAAATGTTCTGGAGTCAGCTGCCCTATAAGGAATCGGTGGCAAGAATGCCCGAAGTGTGCTTGGAATGATTCGGTAAAAGAGGGACTGGGACTCAGATACAAAACAAGGACAGAAATAATGAATAGCTCAGATGACCAAGAGATGCTTAGACGGAGAACACGAGAATTGATTGGTTGCCCAGTAGATGACAGTCGTGCCCCGAGGACCCCAACGATCTCTGGAAGAAGATCCTGGATATGGCGGGAAAATGCCATGGAGACATTCCAAGTCGAATATGTTGTCAGGCGGGTCGAGCTCATTAGGGACTCTGTCCAACAATAGTTGCAATCTTTATTTAAGCATTCGAGGATAAATGTGATGTCAGACTGTAAGAAGAACCAAACTGTAAGAAATTTACTAGATATGGACACAAGAAATACCAACAGCGTCAGGGCTGTGTGGCTCAGTGGTAAGGAGAGACCAGGCGAGGTCGAGACGAGGAGTGCCTTGATATTTTTTTCTGTTATCATCAATTGTTTACACACAGTACTTTAAGTGCTTTTCATTTGGTGACACAGGTCGACACAAGCGTCGCTCTATCTTTCTTGACATTCAGAAAGTAAAGGCACAGTATAATTATACCCAGTAGCGACACTAGAGGTCGATTGTGTATTACGAACGAGGTGAAAATTACAAAAGTGAGCAAAAGTTACTAGGTGACCAATTAAATTATGAAAATTTTAGTGAATTTGTTCACTTTTGTAATTTTCATCTTATTTCAAATTATACAATCGACCCCCTGAACGTTGACAGCTTTGACACAGTATAAATACAGTATGGACACTGAGCGTCGGCACCTTTGATGTAGTGGGTCTCAGGTCACGTTACTCGCCGCCATGTTGTGAGTTTGAAAGGCGCTTATAAATTTGAATTTTTATAAAGCTTACAGAATAATTTTTCTAAAAAAAAAAGACAATTCGATCGTGTTATGAAAATTGTTTATAGTGAGTATATTTTTAAATCAGAATTATATAATAATATAATGTTAACGAACTTACTATATCAAAATAATATTCACATTAATAATAATAATAATATTAAACAGTAATAAATAAATTAAAAATAATAATTAATTAAATATGAAAATTGTAATTGAATAGTTATGTATGAAAAAATAATATATTGCATGAAAACACACACATACACACACACACACACACACACACACACACACACACACACACACGCGCGCGCGCGCACATACACACACACACACACACACACACACACATACACACTCATACTTTATTATGAGAATATTTTATCGTAACAGTCAAATATAATTATCGTACAGACAAATATAACAGTCTACACAATATAACGTCTTCGAAAAAATTTGATTAAATTTTTTAGTAAAACTTAATTTTATTAACCTTTTGCCATACTTTTCTCTTACAAATTAAAAAAAAATTAAACTTTGTACGAACGATATACCACGGCTCTCATTCGTGATATTCATGTTTGGCCCGATTTCCTTACCACAAGACTCAATGGCTTATTTTCCACCAAGGGAATTTTAATCCAGAACAGAATATAAGAACTAACCAACTACAGTCAGTATTCCCCTGTTACAGTCGAACGACCGGGAAATGCTCGACTGTAGTTGGTTGGTTGTTACATTTTAATCCGGATTAAACCCTCGGTGGAAACTAGGCCAATATTGGTTATGCGAAAGGGTTAATTACATTTTATGGGAAGGAGATCTAGCTAACCTAATCTGCAATTTCAACTTGCTGAAAGCAATTACATTCCTGGTTGAAAATCGACACATGCGCACTAAAAATTGGTGACCACATAAAAAGTTTAGTGTCTATACTATATGTACTTATACTATGCCTTTGATGTAAGTGTCTTAGATCACATGCCATTCACCGTCATATT